TTTTATTTATTAATATTTTATTTTAAAAATATTAAAATTTAATTTATAAATAATTATTATTAATACAAATTAAATTAGATATGAAATTAAACTTTTTAAAAAAATCTTCTTGTAAAAAAAATTCTTACAGTAAAATAGGATTTGCGTTTTATATATTAGAGTTCATCAAGCGAATAAATTAGCATTATATCTACAATAATAATAGTTAGAATGATACATTTTAACATAAATATCTTTTTGATATCAATAGATTGATAAACAAAACATACCCAAAAAAATCAAGTCAAACCCCATCTGAATATCTGTCCAAGCATGAATTTTATGTGAAACCCTCCATTCTATGAGAAACTACATGTAAAAGGCAGTACGTTTACCAAAATCCGTGTACGATGAAAACATACACTCAATCGAACATTTCCATGAATTATAATAGTAAAACTATATATCACTTGTATGTTTACAAGAAAAATTATTTTATTTCATAGTAACAAAATTCATAAAATTTATACAAATTGATTTTTACATACAACTTAGTTAAAAGACTTGTTTTTATCACTAAACATTTTTATTACTATTCTAGTCAAAGAAGGGGGGGAAAATTAATTAAGTTAAGGCATGTTTCTTGTTTTTGAATTAATTCGAAAGTGTATCTTTAAAATAAGAATTTGATGAAGCTACAAGCATTACATATATAGTAAAGTGATGGTGGCAGTGGCAGTTGGTGAGGCTGAGGCATGTTGAGTCCACGAAAAAGTACTAATATATATACATATATATAGGTTGAGGTTGGTATGAGTTAGAATCAGTTATTATTATGGGTTTGGGTTTGGTTAATCCTAGCAGCAGCAGCAACGGAAGCGGACACGCCTCCGGGATGAGTGGTGAGATTCGGATCATTTCTCATTTCCGCACCCGTCACTCCTTCAGCGTCTCTCCGTGTCGCTGCTCTATCCGCCGGTAACTTCGAAGTCGCACCCTGCAATGCAAGTTCCAACAACACTCTCTTAATTTCTCTCTAAACTCTAAATTTATTATATATAATCTCTTTAATTCGCTTCCAATTCCCTACCGCCAGAATATCTCCCAGTTTCGTCTTCTCCTCCTCCTTCGTCGCTCGAGCATTCAGTGTCGCCGCTGATTGTGCCGCCGCCGCCACGCCTCCGGGGACGATGTTCGTGCGTCCGGTGGCTCTCACTTCGGCCGCTTGAATCGCCGCCGCGTCGCTCCACTCCACCGCCTTCTTTCCCGCCGTCAACACCGTCGCCTCCAGCGCTTCGCCTATGGTGATCCCGCCGCCGCCTCCGCCTCCCGCGCCCTTGTCTTGGACGAGAGATGGTGGCGTCATCGTATTCAGTGCAGCCTTTTGGCTAAATTGCTCCACCGCCTGTCGGTAATTCGCTTCGTATTATATATTCATATATATTTGCTAGGTTAAACCAGTTTTCAATAACAAATCTATAGAGACTGAGTAATAATTTCATGTTCAACACAAATAATTACTATTAAATTCAAATATATCGAATCCGTTCGAACAGAATCTCAATCTTATCACAATCACAAATAATCTTTAACCACACTTTACTTATATCAGACAGAATCAGATTAATCTAAATCTAAGTTTTCGAACAGAACACCGATTAAAATCAAAAGACTAAGTAACAATTTAATAATTATATATAGGAAAAAGATATATGGATACATATTATATAATTCTTCAGCCTTTAATATAAATATACCTCAACTAATTGATTAACTTTCTTCTCCTTTTCCTTTTCGTCTGGTCTGTGAACAACCTACGAAACCGATTAACCAAATGAGAATCAAAAAGAAAACGCCAATCCCAAAAAAAAAGGGTGAAAAAGCTTATATATGTATAGAGAACCTGTCCACCAACGGACTCCTGCACCGAAACATTATCGGTCTCAGTGGCACTCACGCCACCGTCGGCGGCGGCGGGCTTTTGGGTCTCCGCCTTCTGCACGGTGGCAGCGTCGACGGGCGCCACTTTGTTGTTTGTGAGAGTCCCCTGCTTGTTGAGCACGTGGTGGTCCTCCTTCTGAGACTGTTGCTGACTCATCTTCTTCCAACGATTCTTCTGTTTTTTGTTTATGTGATGTGCAAAGTTTAAAGATACATTCGTGCGTGCATGGGGGCATGGAGTTAGTGCATGGGGTCGACACGTGGCAGAGTTAGAGAGAAACATGGCGAGCTTGAGAGCAACACTTGGCGTGAAACTAGCTGCGACTCCGCCATTAATTGGTTTTTGACGTTTCTTTGAGAAACCCAAGACAAATGTCCTTTACAGCGTCTCCGCGATGACCGAGTCTATTCATATATCTGCCTTTTTTATTTATTATTATTAATAGTAAAGAGCTAAAGCCTCTGAATTAAAAAAGAAAAATTAACGAAATATAATTTAATGGGTGATTGTGGATTTGTGGGTAGCTGTTTACGGCACATGATGAGTAGCTCACATTATTTCTATGCAAAGAAATTATATATTCTCAAGCTAGTCATAATAGTTGACTAATATCATGGTTATTAGGTGGCTTTGGATTATTGGTTGGAGGAATATTAGCAACATTCTATTTTAATATTTTTTTAATTATTAACTTAAATTTATTAAAACTATAAAAAAAGAAATTTAGGTTTTATATGTTTTTTTTTATTTAGTAATATGACTAATATTAACAAAAGTGTTAAGGAAAGTGTGACTAATATTTTTTTATTAATCATTTATTTATTATGATAGTACAATTCTTTTTCATCGTATTTAACGTAATTATATATTTAAAATTCAAATTTGAGACATTAAAAAAATTAAAATGCCCTTTTTTTAAGGAGTCAATCTTGAGATATCTAACTTAGTTGATTTATTTATGGGTTAAGTAGTTTTCAAAATTTATTAGATTGTATAATTTATTTATTTTTTCCATTAAATTTCAATACAATCGGAAGATACGAGTTTTTTTTTTTTTTTAAGTACGTTATCATCGTTTATAAAATGAAGACTTTAAAGAAAGAGACAAAATTTATGTTTTTATAACTTTTACGTCTTCCAAGCAACTGGTCTTCATTTATTTTTATGGTGAAGGAGGGCTAAGCCCAACCCCTACAAACTAAATAATCAACACTACGGGGGCATTAGATAACCCCATAACATCTTTAGTTAAATACACATTTAACACAATCTCTAGGAGGTGTATCAAGTAAATGTAAACTAAAATATCACAAATGAACCAAATTTGCAACTACATTATCCTCTAAAGACATGGGAAATTCTAACTTTGATTTTTTTTTTTTTTTATAGCTGATTTAAAAAAGCATAGTTTTAAAAACCGGACCGGTCATCGAACCGGTTAAAGTACTGGGTCAGTGGGTCAAAGGTTGAACCGGTGGGTCACTAGTTGAACCGCATGACTCGATTTTTATTTATTTTTATTAAAAAAATATTCATATTAAATATATTTTATACTTATAAATTTTAATAAATTTATATCTTATTTTAAATTTCAATTTTTCTATTTTATTTAAAATTATTTTTATTTTTATTTTGTAAAAAAATACATAAAAAAAATTACATGTTAAACTGTATATTAATACAAATTAAAAATATAAATAATATGTACATATATAATATGCTTGCAATTAATATCACAAAATAATATATGTAATATTTACATAGATATTGCATTATTAAATATATAATTTAAAATTAATAATATACTATAAAAGTTATTTAAGTTGTATATATTGCAAACAAATATATTAGAACAAGTAGTCATTGTTATATTTAATAAGACTCCTTGCTTTTTCATTAAGAGATTCAATTTTCATTATTATTTTTGTGATTTATGGTCCCTTAAAAAAATTTAAAAAAAAATAAGAAAAAAAAGTGGTTGAACCGGTTTGACCCACCGGTTCACCGGTTGAACCGGAAAATTGACCGGTTCAATCCGGTTTGAAACGGGTCGACTGCATAACCGATCCAACTTCAGATTCGGACCGGCTGGACCACCGGTTCCCGGTCCAACCGGTCCGACCGGCCGGTTCGGTCCGGTTTTTTAAACACTGTAAAAAAGTGTTCTGCACTAAGCATTTTGATACGAATTTATTACAAAAAATTGTCCGTATTATAGTGGATGAAATAAGAACTTACTTCCCTACAAAAAAATTCGTTTTTGTTATAGTCTCCCAGTGAAATTTAGACATTTTATGTCTTTATATTTTATTTAATAAAAATATTTAAAAATTATTAATATTTATTAAATTAATTAATATTGTAATTGATCTTTAAATATTAAAATCTCAAATTTAAATTTTGAATTTGATAAAAATAATTAATTTTAATATTATAATTTATTATTTAAAATTTTAAAGATAAAATCATTTAAAACATGGAGATAGGAAGAGGTGTTTTACTATAGGGATTGGTAGATGACCATCACGTATTCACGTTAAGAACTATCCACGTGATACTGTAGTTCACTCCTCACCCTACAGAAAAGATTGCTTGTCGCACGGAGAAGATGGAGCTGAAAAAGTATTCATATTTTTATAGGTATATATTTCCTTAATTTTTCAGATATAAAAAAATTAGAGTTATCCACCCCTTGATGACATTGCTGAAGCAGCTAAATGGGTTCATGAAGCTTGTTGTATTAAAAGTCACTCACCCAATAGAGATTGAGAGAAAAATATATTTTGTATCACCCAAATTGAGGATACCACAAAATAAAGAATAACTAAAAAAAACTGAAATATAAACCTTTCAATCAAAAAACAAAAACAAACTTAATATTTAACATGCTGTGCGAGGGTGGAAACCGAAGATATAGAACACAATTCTTTGTTCACACAATACTCAATTTTTATTATATTTTCTTAAAGGTCTTAGCCATTTGTTATTTGGAACATAATTTCCTAAATATCAAATTTCTTTGATAGCACGAATAGAAAATGCAGATCGGATGTTCGTTATTCTTTCCACCATAGCAATATTCAAGGTTGTAATATAAGGTTAACTGTACCACTTGTAAACGGGGAATAAAAAAAAAACAGTTATAATAATGTATCCCTTTACTTGTAGATGTAAATGAAAATTTGGTCTGATTTTGATATGATAATTGTTACGCATATCAATACCACCTCCACGTTTGCACCGTCAACTAGTGGTCAAAATTTATTTAGGATCATTATTTGTAACATGTTTCTATCTTGCTCTAGGTCAAATTTGATCATGATAATCGTTACCGATATCATTTCTGTCAAACCCTTAAATCATTTCACTTCTACCGGTTAAAATTTTTAAAAAAAATTTGAGAGGAGTTAAAATTTAAAATTAAATCTGATTTTTCACGCATTCTATACATAAAAAAATGATACAACTAATGTCAAATTATTTAATTTATAAACCTTGTGGAATTTGATTATGATAAATAAATAAATAACTACGAAATTGACAAAGTTAAAGATAAAATAAAAAAATAACTTGTTATCTAATTTTATGTAGACTCATTCGGGCCCAATTGAAATGATGCAATTTGTTCTCCCCTCAGCTTCACTGAAACTGCTTGCAAACATAAAATTTAAACAGATCCTCCTGCTCCCGCATTCCAATTTCTAACCCTCGTACCAACATTCCTCTTCTTTTCCAATGGCTCCGAGACGACGCT